TTAGTAATCTTTTGCTGCACTTGCAACCTTCCTCAACAACTGTTCACACACGCCTATTTCTTAAACAGCGCACAACAAAAAAGTAGCTTACGCAACCAAGCTGCGATCGCAACGTTCCAGGTTGCCTAGGTATTTACACTTGCACCAGATCAAGTTGCGCAGTTTTTTAATGTGCTGCGCGACAAAAGTAGCTATGTCTGATATTACCTTAAGATGGGCTGGTCACGTATGCAGGATGCAAGAAAACCGCCTACCGAAATCCCTTCTTTACGGTGGGCTTGTAGACGGTAAGAGGAAACCAGGTGAACAACTCAAAAAATACAAGGATATTTTCCATGAAAACTTAAAGGAGATAAGCATGCAGAATCAGTGGAAAGCAGCGCACAATAGAACACAATGGAGAAGAATTGTAAACTTAGTTAACAACGACAACCAAAAAGTAAAGAGGCAACAGAGTAATGAGATTTTTGAATGTCCGGAGTGCGGAAGGAGAGATAACATCATGTATCGGGCTTTTCAGTCACAGAAAAGCTCATGAAAGAAAACGCCTTGCGTAACCATCTTCTGATGCGTATCAAATACTCGTCAGCAAGTAGTGGCAGTAAGTAAGTAACGGTATAAAAAGTTTAGCATAAATGCTCTGAATATTTTCTCTAGTATTCAGAGCAGGCCTCGTTTATGGATCGCGGTGTACCTAAAGGGCGATATTATATTATTTCCGAAATCCATTCGTCGGTATAATTAGTGGGATTCGTCTGCAATGGCAAACAGTAGAACGGGAAATATACGTTCCGGACGCTAATTATCAATTAGAATTAACAATTCGGGCATTTACATCGAGGCAATCCTGTAATCCCAAAAGCTCGTCTTTGTCGGGGGATTTGTAACACTACGTAAAACAGCTTTACGAAGTGCAGAGTTGTGTCGTCCGTTTGACGGTTTCAAACGAACTGTCGCGCGGTATCAGCTTTCTCCAGTTCCGTTTTTTATTCCAATTAAAATCCGCTGGAATTATCAGTATTTCCTTCCAAAAAATGGGCTTCGAATGTGAATAAATGTGTGGAATACATGTGCATATAAAATGGCAGATAGTCTGCAGTAGTCTTTTTGTTCAAGAGTTTTGTGAGGTACTGTGCAAAGTCCAAATAGATCCTGAAATGTTACTAGAACATTTTTGTATCAATCAATTCAACTTTAGTTTTTGTTTGAATAGTTACTATTAGAAGCAATTTAGTTACTGTTAGAAGCTATAGAGATGGATTTTTGGAGGAGATGGAGCTGGCAAATCAAGATTCGAACCAATAACTAATGAACGCATAAGAGAGATTATGGAAGTTCAACATACAATAGTGGAAGAGATAGAGAACAACTTACATGGTACGAGCATATCCAAAGAATAAGAGAAATATGAATCCCAAAGTAAATTATAAACTAGAAACCTGCAGGAAGAAGAAAGGCGGGTAGACCTAGAAGAAGTTGGCAGGAAGTGACTGAAAATTTTATGGAAGAAAGAGCTCGGTGCATGGAGAGAGACAGCGGCATGGAGAGATGGCAAGGGAAAATGTAGACGTTTTGAACCAATTAATATACAGGGTGGTCCGAACTGTATTCCAGAAACTTCGGCAGCATATTCTGCAGATAAAAATAAGTAAAAAATTTGTATAAATGTATGTTCAAAAATGCTTACTGCTGGAGATACAGGGTGTAGAAATTTCGTTTTTATTTCGATTTTTTCCAAATAGTTTCTGAAGTAACGTCAATATTTGGATGAAAATTGGTGTAAAAAATGTATCTTGGTAAAAATCGCTACTAGCAACCGTCTCAAGATATTTAGAATGGAAATAGTCAATACATGTCGTTATTGAGAAAAAATTACCAATGTTGAGTAGATAGTTATTTGAGTGAAATGATAAATTTGCGAACTTTTTATTTTTTTAAATTGATCATAAATTTTTCTTCGGAAGAATGATGATAAAACAGTTTCTGTTGAACTTTTGACACAAAAACATTTAAAATTTAAAATTTCAGTTTACTAACTATTTAGTCAACATGTTTATTTTATGTCAATGATGACAGGTATTGATAATTTTGATTCCAAATATCTCGAGAGTTATGACTCCACAAGTAGGAGTCTATATTGACATCAAGATAGAATTTCTCATGTCAAAAAACTCCCAGACACCAATTTTCCATATATCCCGTTTCCATGTCTCCATATACTTCCCGTTACAATTGGAAAAAATAAATTGAATTGAGACATTTGGAAAAAATCGAAATAAATATGAAGCACACCCTGTATCTCCGAAACTAAGCATTTTAGGACATACATCTATACGAACTTTTTTTAATTATTTTTATTTGCAGATTATGCTGCCGAAGTTTCCGGAATACAGTTCGGATCACCCTGTATATTGAATAGTTACAGGTTCAGCACTCATTTAAACCAGGATATTAAGTACATAGAATTGACAAGTTATCAATTGTCGATTTTCTGGGTATTATACAGGTCAAGTCTTGAATAAGTGCAAATATTTTCAGGGCTGGTAGATCTCGATAAAAAACCATATTTTCTCTTTACCGTTTTTAAAATAACTCCAAAATAACTGAGTTATCTACTTTAAAAATTTCCAAAAAAAATATTTTTTGCTTAAATTTTGAGAACCACTGCAGCTTTTCGGGTTTTTCTGTCTTGTAAATTTAATCTACTACCTATCTATGTTATCATATTATCAAGAAATTATATAAAAAAAACAAAACTAAAAAAAATCCAAAAGGTTTTTCAAAAAATACCAAATTTTCAAAAAAAATTTCGCGAAAAAATTCACAATCGTGTTTCTGGGGTCAAATATACCTACTACCGCTAAGAATAATTGCACTTATTTAAGACTCGCTCGACAAAAAATCGATATTGTTATTTTTGACTTATTACATATTTTTTACTTAAAATTTATAAAAAGCCGTCAATATTCCAATTTCACGAGCATTTTCATTCTCTTTAAGTATTAAGTATTATGTACTTAAGAAAATTCGAAAATTTAAAAACCGTTTTTTATTTTTTCATCGCCTGTATATGACTTTATGACACACTTTGTATACCAAAAATAAAACTTTTGATTAGAGCCGTCTGAAATAAAAAATCTTAATAATTCTAGTTATCGTTATCGAAATATTTTCAAAGAAGTTCAATTTTGACCACAAAATGTTTTTGAAATCCTGCTTTTTTAACACTTTTTTTCAATTTTTTCTAACTACTTCCATTGACTGAAACTAATTATGTATGGTTGGATAGAGGGTGGATGGCGATCTTCCAGGGCGGTTTTTTATTTCTTATTTATATATAGATTATTTACGAAATCGAACCAAAGTCAATTTCAAAGAAATTTTGCAAAATCTGAAGAAATAAAATCTCTCCAAAATAATAAACAGTGAAATGATTATTTACCCTCTATAGATAGAACCCCTACCTATGGTCCTATATAAACTGTATTACTAAAATAAATAGTTTTGAAATATGAAGTTTTCAAATCAATATTTGAAATTTTCAATTGTCGCTTTACTTAATATACTCCCTTGATATTTTTTTTTATTTTTCATCTCTTTTTTTGATTTATTAAGAGCACTAATACTCTATTTATAGTTATTTTTTATTCCTTGAAGGATAATTGAAGAAGAAATATTTCATTTATATTATTGATGTGTCACTAAATAAACCCTTGTATAACATTTTATACTGCTAGATATTATAGTAATGCATTTTCGTACAGCAAACTTTCATTCCCTATTCTACTCCCTAAGATTATAAATTTCATAAAATCGCTTTATCCAAATAATTAACTCATGTCTTTTAAACGATCCTTTGTACCAATTTTTATGTGTATAATCCAGAGGTCACCAAGTTTTATATAAATTTTTACTAACTTTACCCATTTAGTTGATGAATTTCAAAAATCTCTTCTAATTCTTTTTGTATAGGATTTCATTCTTCTAGACCACATAGTAAGGAATTTTCATACAACAAATTGTTCCGACATAATTTTACACTCTAAGAGGATGAATTTCCTAAAATCGCTTTGTGTAGCTAATTCACTAATGTCGTTTAAACGAACCGTTGTTCTAATATTTATGTATCTAAAGCTGGCTGAATCCCTAAAATATCTAAAAACTTATTATATAATCTAACTGACAAACCACTGACAATGAAAAATAATTTATTTCTGGAGGTATTGTGTGTAGGTGTTTTTCAGGTATGTTTTAATATTTAGTCGATTTACACAAAGAAATAGCCATTCAACAATTTAAAAATACTTCATAACAAATCTAGACCTTTCATTTAAAAAAAAACGCATTTCGCTAGCTACTGTAATTTTGGAGTTACGATTTTTTTAAATTTTTAACCCCCTCCCATACCCCCTTACCAACCCCCCACCCCCACCAAAAACTAATGGCCAGATTTTCGGGTGCCACAGTATTTTTGTGCCAAATTTGGTTAAAATCGGTTCAGCGGTTTTTGAGTTATCGTGTTACAGACGGCAGACAGACAGACAGACAGACAGACAGACACCACGAAAATATTTTGTATTTAGGTCATTTATGACCCAAATAACTCATTTTGAGTGAAATTAAGAAAACTTTTTTTTGCCGATCCTAATAGCCTACCATACCTATTGGTATGGTCGGCTAAAAAGCAAAACAGCTAAAGAAAGCAGCAAAACAATTCACAGGAATAAACACTCACCAGAAAGGAATTATTAGAGTGGTGGTAGAATCTGATGCAGTAAAGATAGAATGACAACATCGCATAGTACTTCAAATAAAAATAGTGCACTATATACAGAATTTTATGCTGAATGAATCCAATTATGTACAGTAAAATGTAGGATACAATTTAAAAAACGTAAAACTTTATCATAACTTTTGTATGACACCCTTTAAACAAAATAAAGCATATTATGAACTGAATTAGCAGGTTATATAAACTAAAAGAATTATGTGTTAATTACCCATTCTGCAATTTTTAATCTTTGGGTTTTGTTTAATCCATTCCCGCATTGATTCCAAAGCGGAAGCCCTGGAGTTTTCTTCTTCCCTCAGCTCCTCCCTGGCGATTTCCTGAGTTTCCTTTGACAGTGGACATACGTAGACATCAGGTTCGGTTACCCACTTTCTGTCAGACATTTTGTGTTATTTTTTCCTACAAACAAAAGTAAAATTGTGTAATTGTGACACTTTAGAAAAAATAGGAAACAATGTACCGGGTGTTTTCCAAATGTGGCTCACTCCTTTAACTCTTCAATTTTTTCATATTAAAAACGAGATTTGGTATGTTATAGTATACCTATGACATAAATCAGGATTGATTGATGTAATCAACTAGTTTTGATCACTGCCTGTTTCACCGGAAATGAAAACTTTTGATTTTTAAATGGTACTCTATATTTTTTTACTTTATTTGATAGAAAATAACATTCTGAATAGAATGCCATATAACATGGCAACTTTTGACATTTCCGCTTAAAAAATGGTATTTTCAATTTCAACCTAGAGTGCTACGGCTGTGTTAAACAACTAATTTTTAATCAAGAAGCCTCGGAAATGTACATTTGATAGTCTACCGGGTGTTGCATCGTCGGACGGGACATAGGAAATCCCATGTAAATTTTAATGGGGTCAATTATTGGCTTCCCTAATTATTTTAGAGAATAATTCTATTTAGGTTTATTGAAGAGCACTAAAACCCACATTCAAAAGAATAACTTTAGATTTTTTTGATTAGCTCGTTTACGAGTTAACGCCGATTTCTTTTTAAATATTGCTCCTTTCTTATGGCCCTGTATTTACTTATGAGCACCAGTCAAGGTAATAGATAACTGTCAAATGAAGTTGTCATTTCAGAAATTTACCTATTTAGTGCTTTATTATTATTGAAAACTCATTCCTACATCGGAAATCTTAAAGATATATTTATAAATACAAATTAATATGAATTAAAGTAAAGTAAAGTAATCATTTACAAGGTTAATTATAATATTATTACAATATTCAATAACACTTATTAATTTAGGTAATATTAAATTGTTAGAACTTTAAGATTTAAGATGTTCAAATATTCCTCCATCGACTGCTAGACAATAACACAGGCGATCATAAAATTCTCTTCTTACATTCGCTAGTTGGTAAACTGAAATTCTATTGCATTCGGCAGAAATGGCATTTTTTAACTCGTCTAGATTTGGGTATTTTTTATCCTTGTATATCCTGTTTTTTAAAAGGCCCCAGAGAAAGAAATTATTTGGCGAAATATCAGGAGACCTAGCTGGCAATTTACTGTATGATTTAGGCCAATAACGTTTCCCGAAAAAATAAAAAAAAATGTCTAAATATTCCCGAACAGTCAGGGTACTATGTGCCGGACAGCCATCCATTTGGTACCAAACTTCCTGATTTTCCCTAGCGCATAGCGGCATCATGTAAAGCAGGTAAAATATGATTTTCGAGTAGTTCCAAATAATATTCTGCATTTAAATTTCGCGTAAGAAATAATGGTCCGATAATATTCTGTCCGAATATCCCTGCCCAAACATTTACTTTCTGTGGATATTGCGTCCTTGTTTCGACAAACCTGTGTTGGTTTTCTTTGTTCCAATATCGATAATTTTGAATATTGGGATCATTATTTAAGGTAAACGTGCATTCGTCAGTAAAACATATGTTTTTTAAAGATTCCCTATCCCTATTTGCTCTTTCCATCATATCAAAACAAAACGCCTGCCGCCGTATTTCGTCCCCATCTCGTAGCTCTTGGTGCTTTTCATATTTGAAGGAATAGTATTTATGTCGTTTCAAAATTCGAAACGCCGTAGTGTGATCTATTCCTATTTCATCCTCAAGTTTCCCTGTGCGGATCTTTCCATCGTTCTCTTCCACGCACAATAAAACTTCCAAGTCGGTATCATTCGCATCTTCTCTTTGTTCCTACCTTGCTTCACATCTGCAGTTATTTATTAGGGTACCTTTGGTTTCAAATCTCTGGATATTCCTTGCGATTGCAGATTTTCCAGGTATCGGTCTATTCGGATACAGAGCAGCATACATGTCCGACACCTTTTGATAACTATTTCCTTGATAATACCATATCCATATCATTAATATTTTTTCTTCGGTAGTGTAATTCATGGCTAATATTTTCGATGTAGGTATGAGTTTTTAATAATAATAATAAAGCACTAAATAGATAAATTTCTAAAATGACAACTTCATTTGACAGTTATCTTTTACCTTGACTGGTGCTCATAAGTAAATACAGGGCCATAAGAAAGGAGAAATATTTAAAAAAAATCGGCGATAACTCGTAAACGGGTTAATCAAAAATATCTAAAGTTATTCTTTTGAATGTGGGTTTTAGTGCTCTTCAATAAACCTAAATAGAATTATTCTCTAAAATAGTTAGGGAAGCCAATAATTGACCCCATTAAAATTTACATGGGATTTCCTATGTCCCGTCCGACGATGCAATACCCGGTATAGTTTCCTGGTCGGTTAAAAGCCATTGCCTGGAAACTTATATGGTGAAATTTTGATAAAATAATTTAGTACACACTAAAAACACGGTATGTCGCTAGTGGTAGGAAAAATAATTTTTAGAGATTACTAAGGCGGGCTCTTAATAAGTATATTTATTTTTTCTCGACAACCGTTTGATGAACAAGAAAAACTCCAAAGTTCAATTTTGTTGAAAAGGATGGCCAGTCAAGAAAAAAATATATTTTCTTTAAAAAAGCAGTGGTGTACCATTTATGTTAAGCAAAAAATCGATTTTTTTTTAATTTTTAACACCCTGTAGATCAGAAAGGAAGTACTTTAGACCCAATGGTCATATAAAAATTGTTTTAAAAACACATGAGGAATCACACCATAATTTTTTTAGGCTAATTCGAAAACACCCTGTATATTGTCAACTTGACAATGACTGCTGATAAATCAAAAAATACCTTTTCAGTGAAAAAAGCCTGATTTTCGCAGGAAAAATTTTGATTTTTATTGAATTTGGGCCTGCGTTTGCAAATACTCGTTTGTTTTTTAATTTTCTATCAATCTAAATTTTAAATATCATAGTCAGAAATAGTTTTATTATTTATTAACTGTAAAAATGGTGTTTTCTTGTTGTGTTGCATCTTGCAAAGAAACTAACAAAACTGCGAAAATGTACGTGTTTCCAAAAGACGATAAGGTATGTAACTTAGATAAAAGAAAAATATATGGTATGTATTTGTTGTTTGATTTTTTTTCGTTCGCTTTAAAATCTATAAATCTCGGTCTATTCATTAGACAGCCAGTCGACTTACCATCATTTACATGAAACTCTGTAAGATAAATAAAAATAAATTGTAAAATATATATATATATATATATATATATATATATATATATATATATATATATATATATATATATATATATATATATATATATATATATATATATATATTCTTATGTTTAAAGTTACTCTGATATATTAGTATATCACTTTAACATTTGAAAATAAATCCTTTGAATTCAAATATAAACATAAAAACATTTACAGCAGAAAGGCAGAGAAGGCGCTGGGTTAAACGTAGTCTCCACTAAAAACACGGAGGGGCGCATTGACCCAAAATTTTACTATTAAGTTTCATATCTATCTTAACAGTAGATTATTTTCTTTTATCTATGGTTAAAAGCTGCCCCAATCGTATTTTTAAATGCTTTTTTGAAATGTAACGAGGATGGCTCATTAACATATTTGGAAAAATATATATCTAATATAAATCTAACTAACCAACAGAAAATCACGGAAATGTATATTTTTTCACTCAGTAGTTTTATACAGGTACGGACGAAAATTTATTACTATTCGAATCGGTTAAAAAATATGTAGTTGGCGCTGTCTACAAGTACGAGTTTTATTGACATCAAAATTAAGTTTCTCATGTCAAAAAGATCCCAGACGACAATTTTCATCCAAACATTGAATAATTTGGTACCACATAGTTGGTATTTCGAGTCAAACTGTTATACAGCCACTGCACTCTTGATTGAAATTTAAATACTATTTTTTTTTTAATCGAAAATATCAAAAATTGACATATAATATATGTCATTCTATTCAGAATGTCATTTTCTGTCAAATATGGTAGAAAAATACCGACGGTACCATTTAAGAATCAAAAGTTCTAGTCATTTCTATAATTTAATAATAATAATAAATTACAATAATATTGTAATCAGAAATATGTTGGGCAAACTAGAAGATCAATATTAACTAGATTTAAAGAACATTTAGCTCAGATAAGATATGGTAGACCGGATAAATCTTGCGTTGCCGAACATATTGTTGATAAAGACCATTGTATAGATCTTAATAATTTAAAATTAATTAAACAAGTCTCAAATTACAGGCAATTAGATGCATATGAAAGCATCAGAATTAATAAATGTAAAGATAGTATGAACAGAGACAACGGTCCAATTCCTTCAAGTTCTTTATTCCTACTACTCTAGTGGCGGAAATCTAACTGTTACGCTCAATGGGCTCTGACTCGGTTGGCTAGATTTTGCCACGCCCACTCGGTGCCCACTGAGCGAGTATATAAACGCTCAACTTGTAGATTGTACTTTAGTTTATAATCATTTGCTGATGATGCTAACATGGTTAGCGAAACGCGCATCCGGTGTACAAATAAAAGTGTTTTGGTGTATTGTGGTGATTTAGTGTTTTTATTTTGCTGTGTAACACCAAAGGTTCCAACCCTCAACTGTAAGAAACAGAAAGTGACAGAAAATAATTGAATACAAGAATCAATCCTGATTTATGTCATATACTAGCATACCAACTCTCGTTTTTTGTCTTAAAAAATAGAAAAATTGTAGGGGTATGCTACTTAATTTTGACAAAGACGCTGTAGATTACAGATATGGCAAAGACCCAGTAAAGATCTTAAAAAAATTGTAGGTAAACGTTACATCAAAAAATGTTAAATAAAAAACTTTATGAATTTACATTTACATCTTTGTATTAGTTACTTATTTAATTACTATACATCATTCAAGACAACCTATTTCAATATTTTTATTTCGTAAACAGTTTCTAAAAAAGCACATAAATATCCATCATTGCATAAGTAAATTATTTTAGATATATTTATTTATTAAGTTCTAGAAGG